CCAACTTCTTTATGTCATCTGGATGATTCTAGGTGTCAGTGAAATAATTTTTTTTTTAATTTATAAAAGGTTAATAATATTTATAAAAGGCACTTGAGAAAGGAAAGGCATCTTCTCCCCTGCAGGCAGATCAGAGGAAAAATCACTGTGGAGGGACATGTGGAAGTAGAACTATGGCCTGATCACCCCACACCCATCATTTCATCATACCAAGGGAAAAGAGGCGAAACTTGGTACCACAATTATTTATTGACTGGCTCAATCATTTTCTTGAAACTACCCCCAAGTAAAATTTAAATAAGTTTTAAATGTTTCTTCACTATTATATGTTTACTCATATCCAAAATAGGCTCTAACTTTTAAAATTTACTTTTGCCCTAGAGCTTAATCAAATTATAACAAAAAGTAAAAATGAAACACTTTCATAGAAATGAACCTTTCCCATGATTTGTGAATATACTCATTGTGTATCATGTGAATATTAGTTATAATGCATAAATATTTCAAAAATTTAAAAAGTATCAGAATATTTTTCAAATAGTTGGACTATTCTGAGAATAAGACAAATAACAGGCATTTATTCTCTAGCAGTATTTTATTTAAATACTTAAATATGTTTTACACTTAAATAAATACTTAAATATATTTAACACTCAGCTATCTATAATTCAACAAATACAGGCTAATGCAAAAACAGACCCTATCCCTGTATTAGCCATCTTTATTTCAGAAGGAATAAATAAGCAGAACTCAGGAATGTTCTGATCTGCATGAAAAAGGGTGAAGTGAAAGCATCATGGCTGGAGACAGTGACAAAAGTGCAGAAAATAATGAGAAAAAAGGCACTTTCATTGCTCTTAAAACTCCTGGCTTGGAGACTCTGACTTGACATAGAATGGTGGCTACAAAGGTGAGGGTACAGAACAATAAACGTCACACTTGACCATTTAAGGTAGTTTTCCTCACAGTTTGCTTCCTTCAGTATAATCTGCCAATTAGATGAAGTTTTTGCTTGACAGAAGGAACCCTAAAACATTGATTTTTCTCTAAAGGTCAGGGCAGTCATCCCCCTATAACACAGCTTAAGTGGCTGTGGGGATGTGCCCAGCACCTCCTTGCTATTTCTGTTAATTGGCTTCAGGCCTGTTCACCAAGACAAGGTAGTGAAAATGGCAGGCTCCCAATTAGCTTAATTTCCCTTAAGGTCCCTCTACTTTCTGGTCCCAAATTCTTCTAATCACATACTGTAAAGTTCCTGCCTCCTCTTTTGTGGAATTTATTAGTTGTAATAAACAGTAGGGATGTAAGAACAAAGTCAGCATATGACCTATTATCTGCCAACATTAAATTATAGTCCATGCAGAGTCAGGTAAATGATAATGGTTAAAAGAAATTCAGATTTCTTAAAGCAATGCCAAACATCAAAACTAAAAGATTTGTTGCTTTTTGTTTCTTGGATCTGAGTCAAAATTTGGAAGCATGAAAACTTTTACAGGGCACTACAACAACCCATTTAGTTTTCAAGTCCTTTCTGCTACTTCTGAGATAGCTGAGAAAAAGGAAGTCACAAGGCTGACATATGGATGTTTTTTGAAAGACACACAGTCCTCTACTTTCTGAGATGCAACTGACAAAGGATTCAGGAACAGGCTTATTCTGAGCAAGGCAAACTACTCACTGAAAATGCAAGACTACTATTTTTAGAAAAAATGTTGAGCATGAATCCAAGTGCTTCCTGGTACAGAGCTCTAATAAGATACATCACCTACTTTTGGTCATAGAAGTGTAACTTGTCAATATTCTAACAGAGAGAAAGAAGATTCAATATCCTGTTACATAGAACTAACTCCACAAAAAGAGAAAGACACCTTCAGGTTCCAGGGATGCTGCTAACTCAGCATTCCACACACTTTTTCCTTTTCATCCTTACTGTTTACTCCCACTGGCAAAGTTGATGTGGTCATAACTTCCTTCAAAAAACAGAAAAAATGAGAGACAAGCACTACAGTAGGAAGAACAAAAACAAAACCACTGGAGACATATAAGATCGGAACGCTGTTGACCTCTTCAGTCTAGATGGCATGACTAAAGACAGCCATCAGTTCTACCCTAGTGATCCCAAATTGTAAAGACAGAGGATTGATTTTTTTTAACACATAAAACATTCTTTTATCTGTGTGATGCCATTTTCTTTATTATATAGTTAATGGCAAAAACCATACCCAAACAACTATGCTTCCTTTTAGCCAAAATTTTCATATGGGTTTGATTTGCTTTTGTCCAATTAAGTAGATTTTGGTCTACTTAATTATCCCGCTAATGTGAAAACATCAAATTGAGTGACTGGATTATTATTTTTTAAACTTAAGCCAAAGAAGATGGTTTTAGGCTCAGGAATCATAGCTATAGCCATCTACATTAGACTACAAAGACTAAGGAAGTACTTATTTTTTGAAAACCTGCTTATTATGGAACAAATACTTCAAATAACTTCAACAGAACCAAATCAAGAAATAGTCTTGGGGCGGGGGGCGGGGGGGCGGTGGTAAGTGTGGCTTATCAATGCAATCCCTTTTGCTTAAAAAAGGAACTATTTTATACCAAATTTACAAAGAAAAACTATATTACTTCCTTAAAAACAGATCTATAACCACAGTAGTAAGATAAGTTATATTTTTGGAATATAACTAAATGTATCATATTTTTAAAACTCTGGCCTGACGATCTTTTTCTCCGAATCTTGCAATTAAAAATGGTCATATTTTAGCATATTAGCTAACTCTACCTTCCTCCTTGCTTTAACAGAACACTGATTGTGTTCAGTAATGAGCAGTGATGTTTCAGCAAAGGTAAACTGCCACACCCACCTCCAGCTCCAGGAGGTCAGGCTCAATTAGTCTAAACTGATGCTGGTACTTTTACTCTCTTTGATTTGGAAAAAGATCAAGAAAGCAATACAATTCCCTATAACAAAACAGGAGAGGCATCTGTTGGTGGAGACTTGTAGGAAACGATTGTTTGCTTTCTAAAAGAGCTACTGTGAAGAAGCAAAAGACATTGTTTCTCTTCCCTGTGCAAGGATGTGACAGCTGGGGCTCTGGCCATTAAGGACAAGCTTGAGCACAGAACCACAGAGCCCTGTAGAAGAGATCTTCAGTGAAACCACTGAGCTGCAAATGGAACACCCAATCACCCTTCCTCCAGGCTTCTTGTTAATCAGTAATGAACATTTCCTTATTATGGAATCTAGATTTTCTGTTATTAGCAGCCAATTTTAATCAGGCATGATTCTAGCTCCTTGGCAGGTATTATATTACTTGATATAGCAACCAAATGAATGCTATAGGTTCTATGATTATCTATACCGTTTGATAAATGAATAAACTGTAGACAAGTTTACTAACATGTCCAAATCTCATTTATGGTAAATAGCTAATAACCAGCCAGTCTGACTCCAGGCCCATGCTAAACTAACTAAATCTTAAAAACATTTCTTCAAAGTGATAATGAAATAACAACACCTATTAAGTTTAGATTCTGTATTTTGAGAAAATTGTCTTTCCTAAGTAGAACTTTATGTTTTTTAATTATCTAAAATTATTTCTATCACACAATGTTTTTGTATGCTAACATTCATGATAGCATAAAAATCATTACTTTTGCCTTACCATTGGTGGTATCAAAGGCAAACTGTCCTTTTTTATCGTTTCATATTCAAACACCCACATATACAAAATTATTTTAGAAGGTTTATGCTATAAAACATAGACTGAGATTAAGTAAACACTTAGGATTTCTTTCCACTGTGTCATTAATCTAAATTGAAAAACAGCTATTCCAGTATCTAGGCAACACAATTATTAATAACTTTAGAAATTATTGAAAGAAATAAATGAAATATTATCTCACTGAATACTCACCTAGTTTTCCATCCATATGAACATTTTAAAAAATAACTGATGAAATAACCAAATAACTGGATTTTTAATATCAAAACTATTAAAACTGTAAAGAAAACACTGGTATTCCCACTACAAAAATAATAATAATA